GAGTTTTCTCAGGTGAGGGACCTGCAAATAAACAGATCAGTTTGTACAAGGCAAAGGCGCTCCAAAGGCAACCCACGACTGATTTCAGCAGATGACCTTGACCCGCCGCTGGCAGCCGAGGCTCTTGGGGGGTCCTGCGAACGGAGAGGGGGGGGACTGGACAACAACAGCCTTGTGAAAACTGGATCTTCTAGTAAGAATTGGAAACATACGAGACTGCAGGTGGTGAAAGACGGGCTTCCTTCCTCTTCTGTCTTTCCGCCTCTGCTACGATGGCTGCTTGTTTGGCCTTCTCTTTAGCCTGAATCTTACGAGCTGCCGCTGCTGCCTTCTCTCTTTGCTCCTCTTCCTCTAGCTCCCGCCGGAGACGGTCTGCCTCATGCTGCTTCGCCAATTCTTGACTGTTGCGTTCTTCAGCATCATCGACCTTTGGGATGGGAGATGAGGTGTTTCCTTCATCGTCGGCTGCCTACAATTTTTTTGAAGTCGTCGTTGAACAAGAACTCCAATAAACCTACCTCAAGATATGATGCAGGGACGACCCCTTCTGCTCCTTTCGTATTCCTGCATTTCCACCATTCATCCCCGTCTTTCTCGAGGACAGTCAAGCGCTCGCCTTCCGTGACGGAAAGCTCATCTTCTCCATCGGCAGTAAAATCGTAGAGTGCGGTAGCGAATATCTCTTCAGCCATCCTGGAATCAACGTGTGGTGAGAGTTCTTCTTCTTCCTCCTCCTCCTCCTCCTCCTCCTCCTCCACTTCGCCTTGTGATGGAGGTATAATGACAGGCGAAGCAGGGGAGAAGTGGACGGATGCTTTCTTAGCGTCCCGTGTGATGGTATCCACGGGAGGAAGGTTTCTGGGTGACGGGGTTGAGGAGAGAGCTTTCGACTCCTGGAGTTTGTCTACTATGCTGTCCGCATTCTCCTTAGATCCGGCATGGAAATGGAGGCTTATAGGGGCGGGACCACCGATGTCGATGCGTACGTGCTTGGATTTCTCGGAAGAAGCTGCAGAGACATCTTTTGTTTGCCATTTTTGAACGGGCGTCTGATCAGAAAGCAGATACACCAACGTTAAAGGCTTATACCGTAGGATGGGGCAAATTCTCACCTTGTCGGCCTCACTGGCAAAGTATACCGCGCCATTCCCGATACCGAGGGTTCCTTTCTTCTTCTTTCCTTTCTTATCGATCTCTGAAAGTGACCAAATCTTGATATCATCAGCAGTGACCTTGGCGGCAGAGGCAACCCTGTCCGCTGGGTCAATGTAGTGACTGACGGGGCGTGGAGGCTGAATCAATGAAGGGTTAGTCCGAGGAAATAATAGTGATCAAAACAACGAACAGAGTCTGGGACAACGATTCGAGAATGAGCATGGGACTCGTCATAATCAACTACCTCGACATAGTTCCCAGGAACATAGCCTGCCTTGCCTTCCACCTTCGAGTTTTGGACCAACAACCAATCATCTTCAGTGTCAAACACTAGCAGCATGTCGTCCTCGTGCAAGGATAGTTCACCAGGTGATGTGGCATCATAATCATACAGAGCCCTAACGACAGATGTGTGCTCTGCCTGCGGAGACTATGAGCAAAGACGTAGAGCATTGATTTCTGGAACTGACTTGTTCAACGTAAGCGGCAGGAACAAGGCCTGTAGGGCTATCTGTATCTTGGGAACCCGCTTTGATTTTTACCTTCCACCATCTCGAAGAACTGAACAAGAGAGCAATATACTAGAATCAAGAAATGACTAACTCGTCGTCGACCTTCTCGATGAGGAGGAGAAGCTGATCCTCCTTTATGCTAATCTCGTCATCAGACTGGGGCTCGTAATCATATGAGGCCTTGAGGATGGCGATGTAGGCTTCTGGTTCTTCCGTAGCCATGGATCGAGTGGAACTTGAGGGATAGGTGCACACTGTTGGATGTCACAGGGATCACACCTTGTGATGTGATCAAACGACTTAATCTTTATCCCCCATTTTATCTCTGAACAGCACAATTGGTGCAAAAGAGGCCAAGGAGTTATTTTTTGGGTCCTCGTTGAACGCCGTAAATATAGGCTCCAAGACAAGGACTATCTAGGGCTCCGATCAGTGATCAATCTCGTACATTTCTCTTCTCCGACCACCATGAGCAAGCTCAATCCCACTGCCTTCTCGTTCGTACCCGGTCACCGCTTTGCTGTTCCCCAGAACCAACCTCAACAGCCTCCACCACCACCGATTGAAAGGCCAGAACAGACAGAAGCTCCACTCCCCCCGCCAACCATTTCACTAAACATCGGGGGCACGTCCACCCCTCCAGCCTCTTCGCAGATCCAATCTACACATAAACCACCTTTGCCCGCAGCTAAAATAGCTGTCGAAGAGCCAAAATCTGCCCCACTGAAGCCCCCCAAGACAGAATCATCAGCACCGTCCAAAACGTTTTCCCTCGAGAAAGCGAAAACCGATACAAATGCCATCGCTCAGGAAGTCAAGACTGTCGCGGATCAAGCAGTCGTGGAAGATTTATATGGAAATAGTTCGTACTCATACCCGATCTGAAAGCACATTATTTATTCGATCCTATTCACAGCAAAGGAGCACCTGAACATCGTCTTTATCGGACATGTTGATGCGGGTAAAAGCACAATGGGCGGAAATCTTCTCTTCCTTACCGGAATGGTCGACAAGCGGACTATGGAAAAGTACGAGCGCGAAGCAAAGGATGCTGGTCGAGAGTCATGGTATCTAAGTTGGGCTCTGGACTCCACGCCGCAGGAACGAACGAAAGGAAAAACCGTTGAAGTTGGGCGCGCTTATTTTGAAACCGATCAGCGCCGTTATACTATCTTGGATGCCCCCGGGCACAAGACCTTCGTTCCTTCCATGATTACGGGTGCTGCCCAAGCGGACGTCGCCATTCTCGTAATTTCTGCTCGAAAAGGCGAGTTTGAAACCGGATTCGAAAGAGGTGGAAAAACGCGTGAGCACATCATGTTAGTTAAGACTGCTGGCGTCTCCAAAGTTGTCGTTGTCATCAACAAGATGGATGACTCGACCGTCAATTGGGAGAAGTCCCGATACGAAGAAATCAAGGATAAATTAACACCATTTATCAAGGCCGCCGGATTCAACCCCAAGACGGATGTAACTTTTATACCTCTTTCAGCGTACACCGGGGTCAACCTCAAAGACCGGATTCCCAAGTCCGTATGTACATGGTTCGAGTACGCTTAATCCCTCTGGTATTGAACGACATGACTTGCTGATTTTTCTTCTGATAGTGGCCCCTCCTTCCTGGAGCACCTCGACCATATGCCAATGGTCGATCGCAAAAATAATTCTCCGTTGATGATGCCAGTGTCAGAAAAATATAAAGACATGGGTACGATTGTTGTTGGCAAGATCGAGTCTGGGCATATTCGCAAAGGCGACAGCTTAATCTTGATGCCCAATAAAGTTCCCGTCGAAGTCGCCGCAATTTACACGGAAATGGAGGAAGAATTCGACCGCGCGTTTTCTGGCGACAATGTGCGAATTAGGCTTCGTGGTGTCGAAGATGAGGATATCAGCCCTGGTTTCGTGCTCACAAGTCCCCATAAACCCATCCATGCCGTCCGACAATTCGAGGCCCAGTTAGCCATTCTTGAACATAAAAGCATTATATGTGCTGGGTATTCTGCTGTTATGCACATCCATACCCTCGCAGAAGAAGTCACGTTACCGGTATGCAGGTATACGCTTAATTGATATAGCTGCTGATGGCATGGACAGGCTCTTCTGCACTACTTCGACAAAGCCACTGGTAGAAAATCAAGGAAAGCCCCACAGTTCGCCAAGAAAGGTCAGTCCTTTGCGAGCCTATAGCACCAGTTGTCTGACTTCCTGGCAGGCCAAAAGATCGTTGCCCTTATCGAGACAGCGGCGCCCGTTTGCGTTGAAACATTTGCAGACTATCCACAGCTCGGACGGTTTACACTCAGGGACGAAGGTATGACATGCTCTGTTTTGTTCAGGAGTGACATAACGAAGGTTTTCGTGTTATTTAGGGCGAACAATCGCAATCGGAAAGGTGATTACGAGCAGGCGAATAGTTATAACTGAAGGTTCTGATCGCATCTTAGATAACCAAGATCATCGAAACCGGACCCATCGATGAAGTGGCGGAGGGCGTTTCGAATCTATCGATCAACAACACGGCAAACTAGAAACTAGAATGATCTACGCTGACCTCACGTATGGCCTGAATGTCATGTAGAACCGGCCCTTGCCAACCCCGTTTATCTGGACTGCACCGAAGGAGTCCTAGCTGGAAATCGATTGTGAAGGAGTTTTCGATGATGATAGCATTGCGACATTGTACAGAGTATAGTCAAACAGGTATTTGACCCCTCCTTTCCAAAAACAAACATTTCGTTGGTGGTGACTTTCAGCCGATGTACCTCGGACTGCTTTTCCCCATTCCAATTTACTCTTTCCTTTATCCATCGATCTTAAAGTTGTGTATCAAGCTGTGTTGGTCAACCATTACATTATTTCAAAATATTCCGCAAAGGTCTTGAATCCGTGAAGTTTTGAAGCAAAGTAATACACTGTATCAGGCATTACTTGGCACACCTCACTGCCACTGGCACTACGTGAATTAAATAATCACCCGCTTGTTTTTTTTTATTCCCATTTGATTCCCATTATGCTCATTGGGCCCAGAGGCTACGTCCAGCGTTGCCTATTTCCGAGTTAAGTAGTGTCCGGGTGTCCCAGCAAGATGGATATGGTTAATCGCATGTAGACAAACCTTGGACAAACCAAGTAATTGTTCATTCAAAACGAAAATTCTCACCAACGAACAAGTTCAATGAGTTTCCCAAAATGGAAGCAACACCAACGCCCACAGTGACAATCCCATGGCACAGCTGTCAAGTGTGTGCAACATTTCTATTAAGCCATAGGAGAGGTAGAACTCCCAACGACGGACGACGGAGGCTGATTCTGAGCAGGAACAAAAATGTGTCCTTCGAACCGGGCTCGAACCAGTGGCCTCGGGATCGCAGATATCCATTACAGTCCCACGCTCTTCCAAGCTGAGCTATCGAAGGCACGGAACACTTAAGTACAGTACTGTACTTGCGAGCCAAAAAAGTTGACAAAGCGGGTCAAAAAATCGATCAAATGATCCGCTTACGACAACACGTGACCATGGAACTTGAACTAAAGTTCGCCCAAGTTTTTGATCTCATCCTCCATGGGTGAAACAAACCTGATTACGGCCGCATTGTTTGACGGTGCCGCGTTATTGGGAACACCATCTTCACACAATACGGCCAACAACCTTGAAACGATACTTAAAACTCGTTTATCAGCGTACTATACACGTTTGTCGGACCAAGTTGCATTGGGTCATTTAAACGACTCCTCAAGTTCAATCAATTTGCAGTTACTCACGGCCAGAGAAGCATTCAATGTGGTCGAAAAAATCCAAAAAGTCCTCGACTCCGAACCCCATGGAAGCTCCTCCAAAATGGATGATGGGCTGCCAGACCAAGCGCCATCTATTGGCACACGCGACTTGGCCACCCTCAGGACGTTACTTTCTCTTGTCTTCAAATGGGGCATCGACACTCTCTTCGCTCGCGTGCGTCGAAATTGGCCTACCGAGAAGGAAGTGAAAGGGTCAAATGCAATTGACTTGACGCTGGAGACTGGAAACTGTCAAATGCTGGCTACCCTCTTGATGTCGTTGTTTTCTCTTCTATTTCCTGACGGTCCCCAAGGACGGATCTCGCAGACGCTAATCACGACAACAATCTTATCTCGTCATGTCACAGATATCTTGCTTCCAGCTCTTGCGTTAGGTTGGGCCCCCGGGTCCTTATCAACACACTCGCTACCCGTTCTACATGATGCGAGGCCTTTGGTGATGCGGTTAATGAAATTGTAAGTTGGCATCATTGTACACACTGAAATACTTATTCAGCAACTTCAAGATTAACCCCTGCGCAGACTATGTCTTCCCTGGGCACCATTTTATCTTCGAGTACGACACCACATGTTCGAAAGGCGTGTGCGTCACTGCTTACTCAAGAACTCCTTCGACCGAACGGCGTGGGGGGACTGTGCGAGGCCATCTTTTCCGGAGAGGAAGCAAACGGTGATGGGGCGAGGATCGAGAAGCTTGAGCAGATCGCACATACGTTGAACTCCACGCCTGCAACCATGAAGCAAGAAGTGCGTGTCACTCTGCTTGTTTTCTGTTGGCATTTCTGTAATTTAGTGCCAAGGATTACTTCCAAGCCATCTTGCCACGCGTGTTTAAATTGCTCATTACCGAATCGCGGACAAGTTATCGTCGGGCAGCAGCGTTCACCATTTTCCGAGCCATTGTGCCCTTGAAAAAGAGACCGCACCCAACATACGCGCATCAGGCAATATTAGCTTCTCTACACAAGCCATTCCTTGACTTTTCAGATGCCCAGAACCAGACCTCAGAGAACTCCTTCCTAGAGGCCCGGAGCGCTTTATCGTCACTGATAACCTTGCTTTCTAATACAGAGCCATCGCCACCTTTCGTTTCCAAATTACTTTCACCTATCATTTCCTCGCTTTATCTTCTATCCTTTGATCTCGACAAGTTCAAAACGGCCGATCCCCAATTGAAAGAGTCAATAAGGGCGCTTTTATTATCGTGGGGGAAAATTGTGGATGAGAACGAAGGAACGCAAATTTTGTGGTCCATCGTGGATGGAGGAAAAGGGGGAGACTGGAAGTTCAACCTTGAAGGTCAATTCTGGAAGTCGAAGCCGTGAGTTCATTTTCCCTGCAACAAAGTCTCAGAGAAGGTAATTCAGGCAGGCTTCAGGAGGATTCAGAGCCAACTCTCCTGCTCCCGGGGAATGATCCAGAAACGACAGCGGATGTAGATATAAATCTATTCAATCTATATCCCGACCCTGTTCATTTTGTCGATTTCCTGAAGCGGCTTGAGCGCGGAGACATGGCCTCGAACATTTTTCTGAAACTCCTTGAAAACTATCGGGCCATGAAGGAACGCCCCGGGGAGGGTCCTATGAAGTACTTATCTCGCATTTACGGTTGAAATTCATCCAGGTTTATATGGTTTTAATTAGGGTGCTGCATAAATTGCAGATCGCGACGCAAATGCAGAAAAGGCTTTCGGAAGGAACCTCGCCCAATATTTTGCGCAAGCCTGAAAATCTCCTGTCTTTCATTTTCCATGTGTTTGAATCAGCGAGTCTGGTGTTGGAGGGGGGTTCAGTCACTGGGACAAAACAAGAAGCCTCACGAACAGAAGATATCCTTGACGATGCTGACAGTGACGACGATACTGCTGGTTCTGAGGCAATAGGACCGGACGACGAGCTTATCGAAACTGCAATTACGCTCCTTCTTTCAATTCTCGAAGGTATGCCCAGCTTCCTAAACTTATGTTGCCTCCACTGATCGAAAAAAAAAACAACCCGGCAGACGAAACGCTCACGGCTCATTCTTATCCTATCTTTAATGAAATTTTCTCGAGGCTTGAGCCGTTGGCTCTCAGAGGATCATCAACTCTAAGGCCGTTGGCACGGGAGGCCAGACTCGTCATCACTGCAAGGTTGGCCAATACTTCGCAAGACAGGACTTCAAAAAAGGTTAAAGAATCTGAGGAGGACTCGCAAGAAAGGTACCAGAAGGCTTTGAAACTTTTGCAAGATCCCATCCTACCCGTGCGGGCGCATGGGCTCCTTCTGTTACGACAACTCATCAGCCCAGCCTTTTCAAAAGGTCGTCAAGTTAACACTGCCCTAGTCCCCTCGATTCTCTCCATTTTCCTCCAATCAGTACAGGATGAAGATTCATATATCTTCCTGAATGCCGTCCAAGGCTTAGCTTCTCTTGTTGACACTTTTGGGAAGGACATTCTTCAAGGACTCGTGCGCGATTACGCGGGCGGATTAGAGGGCCTTGGTGGGGGAAATCTAACGCAAACGGGCTTAGATGTACGCACGAGAATCGGGGAAGCGATGAGTTCGGTCATCAAACGATGTGGAAGTGCTTTGGGCATATACGGTGCGTCCATAAATTGGCGCCCCCCCTGGTATTTCTCGTTAACTCTGACGTTCAAAGTGGATTTGCTGGTACCACCTTTATTTGCTGTTGTCCGAGGTTCAAATATCCCAACCCCGCTTCGCACTTCCTCGCTTTCTCTTCTGGCCGATTGCGTGAACACCTATCCATTGGCCATGTTACCATATGTCGAAGATATTTCACAGTCATTGGTAGACTTGCTCCAGACCGAAACCGCCCCGCTGCAGCATCGCAAAGTCCAGTCCGCCTCTTCGGAGGTACCAGACACCGATCGTGTTCGTGACAACAAACAAAGCGAAGACACGAATCTAAATTTGGAGTCTAATACTTTATTGACGAACCCGAGATCTCTCAGCCGTGCCGCGCTGCACTTCCTCTCAATCCTGATCTCAGCATCGACGAAACTCGTGTATGAGGAAAGTACCATAAACCCAATCTTTTTTCCTCGCGATATGTTCCGCAGGTTGAGCATCACGGTTGGTTACATTTCTTCTACAGATGAAGACGATGTGGTCAGGGTGATGGCAAGAGAAACAAGGGAAAACTTAGAACAGCTTCAGCGTGCAGTGTTTGGGCTTTGACATCCAACTTGAAAATGTAAAATAGCAATTGGGAAGTATGTGCATATATATCTACCCCGTATCTGTCTTAGACGCGGTTAACTTTGGCAAGGACTAAGTCAATAGAAGGGTATTCTCGATTTTGGTACCTGTCCTGATGACTGGGTCAAACACAAGAGGATCGCAAATCAACTGTGTCGACCAGGGACCGATGTTTGATGATAGTGAAATCATGAATTTGCTGCGGAATTGATAGTCTGCCCTACGACCGAGCTAATGTCATCAATGCGTTGCCCAAAGTTCTTCCATTTCGCGCTCCCAACCGTAAGCAGTGAAGAATGCTCGCTGTGACTATCGCCAGACTCATTCAACTTGAGGAATGGGTTGGATATTGATGAGTAATATGCCAGGTGCAAGGCTTTAAATACCTGATTGAACATTGTAAGTCAAGGTTGCACTTGGAGAAGGAGTTTCTTACCATAGTAATCTCAGCATCTCGAACAACAGCATCCGATAAGGGCAAGGCTATGACGATTTTTACCTTCAACGGTGTGATATACCCATAGACAGCGACGTATTCCATGGAGAACAGAAGCCCTAAATAGCATTCGCAAGCCTTCCCTGCAGCGAGCACTATTCGCAAGGTGGGGTTAGGGGTAACAGAGAACAATGACTAGGAAGGGCAAACCTCGTTCCTCAATGACATCCAAACTGGTATGTGCAATATAATGGTACTTGATAGCGTGTTGCTTGTTAAAAGACTTTATAAGTATAGGATGATTCTGGGGGGACATGAACGCGACTGCGTTAAGCTTGAGGTTGGGCATAGCCGCAGGCGACCAACCGGTCACGGTTTGTGTTTGAGGGTGTGCTCCAAAATTTATCTTGACTTGCCAAACATGGCTCCACCAAATTCAAGTATTCCATCTGCAGCTGCAGCTGCAATTCTGCAACCCTCCGATCCTCTTCCGAACGATGCCATCTCTGTTCAAGGACCCGATTTCGAAAAACCATTGAGTTTAGATGGATTCCTGAAAAGCTACGAAAGAATTGGTTTCCAAGCAAGCAGCTTGGGCAGAGCTATACATATCGTAAATAAAATGGTGAGTCCTTTATCTTGAAATCCTCTTTTACTAGGCCTGATAACCTCCAAGCGAACCTGGCGTCTCTCTGATGAACCAATACTAGACGATGAGGTCGAGGATTATCTGGATCCACGAGTCCGGGCCAATACCCGCTGTAACATCTTTTTGGGTTACACTTCCAATTTAATATCGTCTGGATTGCGCGAGGTCATTCTCCATCTTGTCAAATGTCGACATGTGGCTGCTCTCGTCACAACAGCAGGTGGGATAGAAGAGGACTTCATCAAATGTCTGGGTAAGACTTATTTGGCGGATTTCAACCTGGATGGTGCCGAACTGAGGAAGAAGGGCATGAATCGCATCGGA